AGTAGTACCTTGAACTATTTATTTAAGATTTATAGTGATGCAACTTTAAAAATCTTACAGTAATAGGACTGATGTAATACTTTTGGTCTGAAAATTCACAGTGCTAAAGAGTGCATTAAAAATCTTCATGGTAGCCAAATGAAATAGGATGTATTAGTTAAGACTTGGAAGTTATTATTTTTTTTAACATTTTTCTGCTCTCTAATTGTCTTTTTTCCAGTTGATTATAAGATCTCACAGATGTATTATAAGATGTGACAGAAGTGATACTTAGAGGATGTGCAATCAGACGTACCAGTTCACAGTGATAAAGAACTCCTTGAAAAGTATAAACCTTTCTTAGCTTACAGTGACTGGAATGAAAGTTACATCGCTCTGCAGTTTTGACATATTTGTGCAAGCTCTCTGCGTTTGTGTTTGCTATTGTTAAAGTATTTTTAGAAGGCGCACCGTGTTCATATAAATAGAATTCAACAAGTAGGAATTTCTATTATTTATTAGTAGTGTGACTAATATATGGGGGTGGCTGGAGGGTCACATGAAATCAGCATCACAAGCACATATTTATCAAAAAAACCCGAGTTGATTTGAAGTTTAGAGCAGCCTAAAATAAGCCATGTGTTCTTTGCTGTATTAATGCATTGCCATTTAAATGTGGTTAATGTTCCTTTTGTTTTCTCTGGGCATAAGGAGTAAAAAAATATGCATTGTTATCTTTCTGGAACAATATCAAAATTTATATCTGGCTTAACACATCTGACTTTTTAGAGGAAGTGGACACGTGTTCTGGGAGTAATCTAGATAAATCTGCAGCCAAGCATAGGTACAGTGAGATAAAATTCCAGTGCTTTTTCTCCACTGAAATAAAATTCACCAATTATGTTACCAGGCTTTTCCCCTTTATGGTCAGTTATAGTCTCATGGAGACCATCTAGGGAGGAGGAGAGGGTGACACTGGTGGAGGTGGGTGGGGGTGGTGGAGTTGGAGAAAGAGTTGGTGATGGAATTGTTAGTGAGAGTATGGATTGCTCCTGTCATGTCCATTTTGAAAGTTATGTTTCCTATTGTAGTTATGTTCTTTTTGTCAATTCTGCCTTGTGAAAATGAGTAATAGTAGGTAATGCAACCTAGCCACAGGTCATTATTCTTTCCAGTGTACAAAGCTAAGCAGAAAATGTAGAGACTATTACTCATGACCCATTAGCAGCATTTGCCCCTTGATGTTAAGAGCTCCTGATCCAGAAAAAGAAAATCATTTGAAGGCTGTAGACTAATAAAAATGATTTTTTTTTTAACTTAAAGAAACATAAAATGTTCTTCCATTTACTTGTTTTAAAAATTGGGAAGTGGAGAGATAAACCACAGAACTTACATGCATGTATGCGTAACCAGTGGACATAGACAACAATGTTGGGGATGTGGGGGGGAGGAGATCAGGAGGAGGGTGTCAATGGGGGACAAAGGAGAAACATCTGTAACAAAAATAAATTAATAAAAAAAGAATTGTGGAGTGGGAACATAAAACTCTTGAGTTTAACTGCTGACCTTGGAGGGGAAACTATACCCTGGGTTGTACACATAGCAAATGGAACAGCATTACTCTCAGGCCAAATGAAACCTAGCCAAGAACTAACTTGGATCTTCTGTCTGAGATAGCCTAGCCTTTGCTCTAAGTAGTTGCTTCTCAACCTCTGCACTGTTGACATTTAGGGTGTGTCGGTCTTTATTGTGGGGGGCTTTCCTGTGCATTGTAAGATGTTTTAGCAGCATCCCTGGCCAGTAGCATCCCACTCCCTCTAGTGTGACAATCAAAAAGGTGTTCAGACATTGCCAAACGAAAGGTACAATGGCTCCTGTGGTGTCTCCCCCTCTCCACCGGAGAACCATTGCTCCAAGTACAGGTGGGGCAAAAGTAGGTTTACAGCTGTGTGTACACGAAAGGGTTTGTTCTTGTATTATTTCTTAATTATTTCTTATTTTACATACAAACAACTGTAAACTTAGCTTTGCCCCATACTGTATGTTAGGTGATTTGTTGATAAAGAATATGTTCCAGATTTTGTTTTATTTTAAAATGTTTTGTCATAAAATTAGCAGTTTGGTGTGGAATAGACTTTACTTTTAAGAACTGTAAAAATAACCTGGGAGCACGTTTTGTAATTTGTGGTAAAAGTGAGGACAAGATCTGTCTTTGATTTCAGAATTCAACATTCTGACCTTTGGATGCCTAGTATGGTTTTTTCCAGGCTGTACCAGGTGGGGACTGTTTAGTGTGTTAGGAATGCAGAGTCCAGACCCTGTGCATGCTAGAGGTCACAATGTAACATAACAGAAAAGCATTTGAAAATAAGCCTAGTGACTAGGTATAAGCCCAGATTCCCTTTCAAACTAGAATATTCTAAACATGTACCTCGTAGCAGTAGGTGTTTACTGTTCAGCTTAAACTTATCAAAATAGTCCTTGAAATAGGAAGCATTCAGAGTTTTCATCGATGTAGATTTGAGATTTTCTTTTAACTTTGGTTTTGGGTGCATATCATCTTGTTTGCGAGAGGATGAAGCTCTGAGCTCCATCACATATTTTAAAACATTCTTGGCACATTACTTGTGGGCTGTTCGTGCCCTCCCCCTACACAAGATACTGCAACAAGACATCTCCATTTTAATTGTTTTCTTTATCACCGTACACACTAAAATCCTATTTTTCATTAGTTAATAATTTTTGTGTTAACTTGTATAGAAAGTATGCTTTATGGAGGAAAGGGCAGGAAACATTTTGTGTATTTATTGAGACTAAACATAAATATGAACATAAAGACATAAAAATTACTACTAACACTCTGCTTACACTTTCTATACAATTCATTTAAAAATTGCAACCTTAAGTAACAGCCTATGGGGAGTACATTAAATACAGCAATTGGCCATTCCTAAGTTAAGAATTCAGCTGTTATTAGGAAATTCTTGGCTTTCTGAAATCCATCACTTCCAATTGCGGAGAAAGCTGCCTTAGTTTTTGTTTACTAAAGAAAATACATTTATATTTTGAGTTATTTCATTTATTCAGTGGCTACTTTTTAAAGATTGAAACACTTCCAGAAAGCATGAATTTATCCTTTCCATGGTAAGAGAACATTTCACACTAGTTTCATGTTAGAAACTTTATCTAGGTAGTTGTTGTTTTTTTTCTCGAAGGAAAAATGTTAATGATTGTTCAAAAGTTATTTATATTACAATTCATTTATTTTCACAGTGAAGTTTTTATATCCCTATGTTTTCAATTTAGATGATATCCAACAGAGATATTCAAGGTATTTTCATGATAGTTTTAGGAGAAATTCGTGGGGGGTTTTTCCCTTTGAGTTGTATCATATTCTAAATTTTATATTTGCAAAATATCAGTGGGTGTATAACACAAAAACTCACATTTATTTTATGGCACCCTTATATATTATTATTGAGCTGCTATGCCTAGTTCTTGTGTGTGGGATGCAAACAGGTGTAGAATATAGATCGAGTTTCACGTTGGTTAAAAGCTAAGCTTTATAGGAGAGAGACTTGTTTAGGAAGCCAGATTGCTGGTACTGATTGACTTTTAAAAGTAGACTAAGTAACAGTACTCATGGATTTGAGAATAAAAATTCTTTATCAACAGAGATTTGAAGCATTGTCATCTAGCTCCAGAGTTGTTGTTTCTTCATTAAAAGTTAGTTTTGAGACTAGTTTGAAATTATTTCTTTCATAGGTTAATAAACATTTACTTTGCAACTCCTACTTGCTAGATACTATGTTAAGGTCTTATTTATAGGCCTTTAAAGCTTTCATCTGTCTTAGTAAATGATTCCAATAAATGATCACTGGGCTTACACATATTCACTAGGCCAGTTTTCCAATTATTATTTTTAAGATACCATGTTCTTAAAAATAATAATTCAAGATAATAGGAAATTCTATTATAGCCATCTGAATCCATATTAAGGTTAAAATCCAGCAGTGTCACTTTCAAATTTTTTGTGTAAGCACTGAACTATTCCAAATGGTGATTATGAGTAGCTCTTTTGAAGGGAAAAATCTATCATTTTAAAAGGATGTATTAATCTTCCCATTAGAAAGAATGCATTTGAATCCTATGATTAAGGAATGCTACACTGTACAGTTGGAGCAGCAACTGAAACCTCCTCATCAACATTACATGTCTCCTGCCCAGTAAAATAATACATTTCATAACAAAGGGATACACATATTTGATTTTTTAAACAATATGTTAAGTTACATGAGTTTTCATATCCAGTTGCTGAAGAAATTTCTAGAGCAAATAATGCTGCTACCAAGATATGAATGTCATTTTTCCTAACCTTTAAATAAGTTTTTTCTCATCATTTTGTAGGGAAACAAGGAGGCTTTTGGAGAGGGATTACTAAAAAAATTTTCAGTAGAATATAAAATTAAACTTCAATGAATATTACTTTAATGTTTTAAGGAGTGACTTGCAGTGTGTGATATGGTCAGTAATTGCATAATCTTTAGTATGTATATGCTTTTAGAAATCATTCACCTTCTCACAGATTTTAGAAGGGATTTGTGATATTTGTAAATAAATAGAGGAAGCTGGTCACATACTTTCATTTTTATAGTTTACATTTACTTTAAACAATTACTATGAATTGATACTCTTAAAGAGTGGATTTATGCCATATATATATATATATATATATTTTTTTTTTTTTGCCTAATTATGTTTACTTCTAATTCGGATTGAAAAGTTCTTTGAACTCATAAATTATAAAAGTAATTATTGATTATTTTGACTGAACCTGGCTTCTCTTGGCTCCTGTGCATAGATACACTAAGAACTATGTCATCTGTTTTATCTTGTGTAAGGAAAGTATTGGTAGTGTAAAATATCTAATATACATATTTTAAAGTCTTCATTAAAATCCTAATTATAGATTAAGTTAAAGATGTAAGAATAATTTATTGTTCTTTTAACTTTTTTTAAAGGTGATGGATGTGGACACACTGTGCTAGGCCCTGAAAGTGGAACCCTTATGTCCATCAACTACCCACAGACCTATCCCAACAGCACCGTTTGTGAATGGGAGATTCGTGTAAGGATGGGAGAGAGAGTGCGCATCAAATTTGGTGACTTTGACATTGAAGATTCTGATTCTTGTCATTTAAATCACTTGAGAATTTATAATGGAATTGGAGTTAGCAGAACTGAAATAGGTAGGAACTTTTCTTATAAATGTACATGTACTATATTACTGCCTTGAGTTTTAAAACTAAAGCAATTTTTGATATTTGACATTGAATAACGATGCTCTATGGATGATTATGTGGGAAATTATTGAAAGCATGTGTGAAAATCTCAAATTTGAATCTTTTGAGAAGATTCTTGTCTGTTTGTTTACTTTTCTAACAAGCCTGTGCTCCTACCTTTGCAACAAAAGGCCACTGTAATAGGAGAAAGTTAATTATCTCATTTGTTTGTTTTGTTTTTCTTGGGTCATTTTATTTGCAATTGAAGAATACAAGTATAATTCATGCTTAGGAGGCAGTATATGATGGCCATTAAAGGCATGGGTTTTTAGAGCCCTGGCTGGTTTGGCTCAGTGATTGGAGCGTTGACTTGCAGACTGAAGAGTCTCAGGTTTAATTCCCAGACAAGGTCATGTGCTTGGGTTGCAGGTTTGATCCCCAGCCTGGTCAGGATCCTGCGGGAAGCAACCAATCAGTGTGTCTCTCACTCCCTCTTTTTCCCTCCCTTCCTCCCTCCCTTCCACTCTATCTAAAAAGCAATGGAAAAATATCCTTGGATGAGGATTGACAAAAAGGGCATCGACTTTTGATCTGAGCTTCCTGGTATTTAATGCTAACTCTGCTGTTAGCTTGCCCTGTGACCCTGGACAAGTTACCTGACCTCTGTTTCCTCACTCGTTTTTTGTGTTTTTTTTTTTTTTTTTAATCCTCACCCGAGGACATTTTTCCATTTTTTGTTAAGATAGAGTGGGAAGGGGAGAGAGAGAGAAAGAGAGAAACATCGATTTGAAAGGGACATATCTAGTGGTTGCCACCCGCACGACCCAACCAGGGCCGGGCACAAACTGCAACTGAGGCACATGCCCTTAGCGGTAACTGAACCTGGGTGTCTCTGGACCGCAGACCGACACTCTAACTGCTGAGCCAAACTGACCAGGGCCTGTTTCCTCATAACAAGTGAACTCGTACATGTAAAGTGCCTAGAACCAGTTCATAACATACAACACATGTTTAGTAAATATTAGCTGCTATTGTTGTTACCCTTAGCCAAGAGCATTGATTCTCAATTATGGCTACAAATTAGAGTCACCTGGAAAGATGTTTAAATAATACTATATATCTGGTCCTTACCTTCGACTAGTTAAATCAGAATTGATTGGGTGGAACCTATGTCTCAGTATTTTAGAAGTTCCCGGGATAATCTACTTTGTAGTCAAGGTGGAAAATTTTGTAAGGCTGTTTTGGTAAACTAACATCATAAAATAAAGAACTCTTGAGTTCTCTGAATTTATTTGGAACCATTTATTGGCACAAGTGTGTAAAATGTCCTTTACAACTGTAATTGGAACCCAGTATCTTGTTCTTTAAACATCTTGTTTATCTTCTGCCCTCCTTTCCATTTGTAGTCAAATCTTTCATCTCTTCTCTGCTTTTTGGCCTTTTACCTACCAGAGGAACAATTCCTGCCCTGCTTCCCTGACTGTTAACTGCTAACCTCTGTTGTCTCTCAGTCAGCTCTGGATTAACCTGGGAGCTAGATCACTATGTGTACGTTGCCCTGATATGTGGTACTGGGTAAGTTTTTAGGGACTCACATACCCAAGGACCTAGAAACACTAACACTGTAACACTAATAGAAGGCAAGTGGATATCAAATGCCTCCTGAGGTGATGCAGTAGAGAGTAAACAGTAGCACCTGAGCAGTCTTGCAACAACAGTGGAAAAAGGTGAACCACGATGTGATCAAGCCCATAGCAGTTTAGAGGAAATAAAGGAGCTAGAGAAATATGTATCAACCCTAAAGTCTATATAGGCATACCTTGTTGTATTGCATTTCACAGAGGTTGCATTTTTTACAAATTGAAGGCAAGAACCTCTACTAGCAAAAAGATTATGACCCATTTTATTACGATACTTGCTTTATTGCAGTGGGCTGGAACCAAACCCGCAATATCTCTGAGGTATGCCTGTATATATATGGCGTGAAAAAAAGGAAGGGAGGAAGTGGAGGAAACTGTCATATATTGAGATACATCTTGATTTAAGCTAACCGGTTGCAAGAAGACATTTTTGAGGTAATTAGAGAAATTTTAAGAGGAGTTGTGCATTCAGTAATAGTCAAGAATGATTGCTTTTGGTGTGGTAATATTATTTTTTAAAGATCTCATTTGTTAGGGACATTCTGACATCAAATGAAATGTCTTACATTTGTTTTTATTTTATTTATTTATTTTTCTTTATTGATTTTAGAGAGAGAGGAAGGAAGAGGGACAGAAACATCGATGAGAGTGAACATCGACTGGCTGCCTCCTGCATGCCCCCACTGGGGATTTGGCCCACAACCTGGGCATGTGTCCTGACTGGGAGTCAAACTGGTGACCTCTTGGTGCGTGAGTTGACGATCAACCACTGAGCCATACCCACCGGGCTTGCATTTGTTTTCAAATATTTAAGGAAAAAAAGGGGTGGGAAGAGGGGTAGGTGGAACAAAAATGACAAATAGGTGAAGCTGAACCGTGGCCGCACAGTTGTTACACTCTCCACTCTCTACCATTACATATTTTTGAAATTTTTCATAATGAAAAGGTTTATTTTTAAATAAAAGAAGATGAGGATTATATATTTGGACAATAACTACTGTTACTGTTACTAGAAAGGATGAGTGACATGAGAAAAACAACTCTGAGCACAGGTCTTGTATCGCTCACTGGGTTCTCATCACAGCTCCAGGACTGACTTCCTGACAGTCTTTTCTACAAGTTATTGGCCCTGGCCAGACTTCTTAGTCATCATCTATACTGTAGGAAGATTACATGCAATAACACTTCACAGTGCTTAGGGTGTGGTAGGTATACCATGTGTCTCAGCTCTCCCTTATTTACACTGTTTTTTGTTTTCCCTTATTCTGTCTTCACATGGGTGAATGAAAAGCTGCAGAAAGGTGAAGGGTGCTATTGGATTTTAGTTTGCCCCCTCCCCATTACTACATACTCCTGGTCCTCCAATTTGGTAGCAGTCTATGGGTTAGTGGGAGAAAGGTAACTCTTGACATTGCAGAGAAATAAGCCTTGTTTAAAAATAGTTGTTTGATGTTCAGATTAACATAGATATGCAGAGAATTACAGGGTAGGAACAAATACATTGTGGGCTTCAAGATTTCAATGCTAGTAGTACTGAGTCTTCTTGGTCCTGTATCATCTTTTCTTAGTGCCCCTTTCAGAGACGCAGGCACAAGTATGTTGTATTTACCTATCAAAATGGTTCCCATTTTGGTGTAAAGCTTAGGTTTGGGTTTCTTGTTTATAACTGAATTTTAGGGATTTTTTTTTTTTCCTCCCTGAGTGATGGTATTATGGAATAATGAAGAAAATAAAAAGGAGAATTCTTTCTCAAGGATTGAATCTTTAATCCTAAATTCATCAGAATGTGTTTTAACTGATAAGGCTCTTTTGCTTACTTGGCATTTGGACAGTTATTTTCTGTTTTCTTAGAAATGTGTTATATTCTTTAAATAAATGAGTTTATTATGATTTTCTATAACTGCATTATAAATTTCTAAACTTTCAAGAAATCTTTGTGCAGTTAACTCAGTGTAGTGGTACTCATTTATTTCATTGATAGGATGTGTTCAATGATGGAGGTGGGATAGGCTCTGTAGATCTGAGTTCTGTCTCTTTTTTAAGGCAGATGGTATTGAAATGAGAACCTGTCATTGTGCCTTGGATATTAACTTGCCTTTTTGATGATTCTTTAATCTCAGGTATCTGAGACATAGTAGTTGCTCTATAAAGATGGAAATTGAAGTAAAAAAATCCATTTGCCATTAATATTAACCTTTTCTATGTATGTGCAAATATATATATCTCTAAACTATTTTACATGTTTTTTTCTTAATATTTAGACATCTTTTTATATTGATCTATAGACATATGCTAGTATCATTTTTCCATGGAATTAGTGACAATTAGTCTAAAGATAAAATTTAAAAATAAATATTATTGAAAAGAAAAGCCTTTTCTTATTTGTAAACAGATAATTTGTAAATTATCTGAATAATTTCTTCCTATATTTTGCTTAAATTTTTCATTTTAAATGAACTGTTTTGGGGAGCAGGGAGATTGTAGGTAGATCTTTAAAAGAGAAGCTAAATATTTTAAAGCCCATTAGGTATTAATGGAAAATGCTTTTGATAGAAGAAGAAATGTAAAAGTACATGTCTGTGTATTCAAAGTTATGTTTAAAGATATACATTCTATCTTATACCTTCATCCAAGGTAACTTTTAAAATTATATCTCTTAAATTCTCAGATGATTTATAAGGAGGAAAACAGGTTCTTCAGGCTTCATTTTGGAAATGATTCTGTGTCTCTTGCATTTTCAGTTTCTGTTTTTGTGTTGTTTATCCCCCGTCTCTCTAATGTGCTTAGGTATTCCTATTTTAAGAGGAAAAAATAAACTTTCTTTGTCTTTACCACTAAACCTCTTGAAAAAAGCTGTATTGATGATAATATTACATACTTTACAATGATAATGATAGATAAGATTTTCTGAATTCTTACTCTGTAGAGGCCTAGGCTGATAATGAAAATAACTGTCATGCATGCAGTGCTTGCTGTGTGTCAGATACTATTCGAATTGCTTTCATCAGTGAACTTACTTAGTCTTCACAAGAACCCTTGAGATAGATACTGTTTTTACCCCCTGTTTACTGATGGGAAAATTGAGGCACAGAGAGGTTAAATAACTTGTTCAAGGTCACACAGCTAGTAAATTGCTAAGCAGGACTTAAACTTTCTCAGTGTGGCTCCAAAGCGGTACAAGTTTTTGACATCCTTGATTTTGTTTAATCCTTTAAGAACCCTATACATTCCCATGAAACAGCAGATCAGAGAAGATGAACAACTTGTCCAAAGTCACATAGGCAGAGTTGAGACTTGGACTAAGGTCTGGCTGATCTCAGCCACTAG